ATTAAACGCTGAAAACATCGCCAGAGCCCCAGTAGGTAAGATCAACAAAGAACTGGACCTAAGGACCTGGAGAATTCAAGTCACACCTATTTCCTTCCAATTTGCAACAGAAATGAACAAGATCTTCTGATTTTTTTCAAGAAATGCCAGAAAACCAGTTTTTAAATGAAACTGTGATTTTTTAAATGGGGGCAACTCCCAACAATTTAAAAAGAAAATGTAAGTCACACAAAATATGCTCGTAGTCTAATGTGGTAAAATAGTCATCAGTCTGTACTAAGTAAAAAAAATCAGTGGAGTAAATTAACCTCAACTGCTTCTTCCACTTTCCCTGTCTCTCCTCCACCTACTCCAAGCCTGAGTCCCTGGCTCCACAGCCTGTCCCTTTCCTTTTCCTTGTCTCTTTCTTTTCCAGCCTTCTTTGTCCTTCCTAAGGGATGGAAACGGAACCCTACACATTAAATCTTCATGTGGCCCAGACTATGCCACTAGACGGGCCTCTACGCTTGGGAAAGTGCAGGCTGTAAGTTGCAACCCGAGCCTGTGGCTCCATTATGTCAGCAACTGGGTTGCTTAGGAAAATCAAGGGAGTTAGTCAAGCTCTTAATATGGGTTCACTAAGACTTTCATCAAGGAACTCATGGAGAGCTTCATTTCAGTTCTGGCAAGGTTGTTTTTTGGTTTGTGCTTTGCCTTAAATCTAAACCACTGCATATCAAAAGCACCCCTAAAAGTTTGTTACTGTTGCTGCTTTGTGGTTTGTTTTTTAATTTCCATATATAGACTTCATTCATCCCTTGATAAATATATCTCCAGAAATGTAGTCAGGGCATAGGGAGATTTTGTGCTGAAAATCACAAGCCCAAAACCTCCCACAGGCCAGGCGTAATGGCACATGCTGGTGACCCCAGCACTCAGGAGGCTGAGGCAGGAAGATCACTGTGAATCTGAGGCCAGCCTGGACTACACAGTAAGACCCTATGTCAATCAATCAATCAATCAATCAATCAATCGACTGATCCCTTCCACATATCTGCAGTTTAGCAATGTGCTTGATTCTAGACCACTAGTATACTGAATAATCTTTTTGCTTATTGAAGGATCTTTCCAGCTTGGTTCTCACTGTATCTTCACAACTAACAAAACAAGCAGTTCAGACACTATTATTTTCACTGGGCAGATGAGAAAGGCAAAAAAATATCTGGCTGGCTGAGCACACATGGTGGTGTGCACCTGTAACCTCAGCACTCAGGGAGGCTGAGGCAGGAAGAGTACAAATTCTAGCCTCGTCTGGGCAATTTAGGGACTCAGTGAAACCTTGCTTCAAAAAATAAAAACAGCGATAACAAAAATATTCAATGAGCTGCCCAAGGGGACCCGGCTAGTTATTCATAAAGATATACTACAGCCTCACTAATCTGGGTGTCTGTCTCTCCATCTCCGTCTCTGTCCCCCTCTCGTTCTCCCCTAGGGCTCCATGCCTTCTGGGCAAACTTTCAGCCACTGAGTGACAGCCCCACCAGGAGTCTTTGACTACCAGCCCAACCCCACTGCCAAGCTACCTCCCTAAGGCTGATTCACTTTACTACAGGAAAACCAATGCATATGTGATTAAAATCCAACAAGAAGCACAACAGTGGCTTACAAAGGCCCAGCTTAGAGTCAGCAGACAAGATACCTTCTTCTGAAGGCCATCAGCCAGCCTGCTTCTCACACACCTCCCGCCCCCCACACTGCTCAGAGTCACAGTCTCCCAGAAACTGAAAACATGAGTTTCCATTAGGATATTGGTCTCAGAAAAGATCTTGTAAAAGATCGAATAGCCATAAAACTGCAAAGGTAAGGCCAATTTTCCTGATCCACTTTCCCCACTTCCTGTGAACGATAAAGATGAAAAGTGCTTTTTAATTTAATATATATGAAGGGCTAACACTGCCAAACACTTCACCAACCATTGTGTTAATTAAATCCTTAGGATAACTCAGGAAGATCAGTACTGCTACAGTCACCACAAGCCCTATTTAACAAATAAAATAAACAACAGACAAAACTCTGGGAAATAAGCAGCCTGCTCAAGATCCTACGAGTAGTAAATTGAGACCAGTGTTTACATGGGATTCACTGCCTAACCCCCCACACCTTCCCTGGCCTGGAATGACAGTAATGCAATCCTGGGAAAATACCAACTAGGTGATCTTGGCGAACACTTCCTTCAAAAGATGGGAAAAAAGCACCTGGGCTAGAGCATCAAAAAAACCCCACAATGTCAATAGGCATTCCAGACTGGAATCCACACAGCTACTGAGGCAGAAAAGCAACCAGGACAGGGGAAGAATGAAATAGCAGAGAGAAAACACGGAAACAGAGTCAGACTGCAAAGGAATTTAGACTTCATAGGCAGTGTGAACTCCCAGGAAGTTTCTTTATAACAGGAACTGAAGTATGGAATATAAGTTTAGCGAAAGCATCCTGATGAGTTGGGGTGGCACAGCCCAGCATGGGGCAGAGCAAAGGGAAAGGGTACCTGGCTCCTTCAGCGCCGGAGCATCCTCCCCCTGCACCGGTGTCTGTCTCATGATCCTATCCCCACACTCAACTTGATGCCTTTGTGGTCAGACAACAGGGACCTGAACTGAGCAGTGAGAACAGAGAGTGAGAAGATGGGTTTGAGGACATCTGCAAGGATCGGGTCGTGGCTCAAAAGTGGAGAAGAGTGGGAAGAAGCAAAGAAAAAGACTCCAGTGCTTCCACTGTAAGAGAAAGAGGGCAGACATGCGACAGAGCACCGCAAGGAGGCCGAAGGCATGGCTTCCCAAGGCTTCAACATGGGCAATATTTAGCAGGTAACTGCACCGCACCACACACTAGTGAAACAAGGAGCAGGAGCAGGTTTCGCCTCAAGTATCACGGTAGGGCAGTGATGGCCAACCTGTGATAGCTTTCAAGACACAAACAGCCCACTTCCGGTTACAGGTTTTCCAACATTGTCACAGGAGGGAAAAAGACAAAAGGAGCGTGGTCAGAATGCAGGGGGCCTCCGCAAGGCCTTCCTTTCCTCAGGGGCTTAATTCCCTAAGCAACACAGAAAAGGTACATAAGGAAGATGTTTTAAAGACCGGAATATGGAAAAAAAAAAAAAAAAGAAAACACACAAAGTGTATAACATAAAAAAAAAAAAAAAAAAAAAGAATAAAGACCGGAAAATGCCTATCTATATTTACCTCATCTGCAGTGAAAGAAGAGTGGCACAAGTAACCTGCCATTCCTGTGGCAGACTGCCACCCCTCACCATCAGAGCTGATGCTCCCAGCATTCAGGTCCCGGGACCGAAGTCACTGCTCACGCGACCCCCTTCACCTAAGCCTCCTCCACAGCCATGATCTAATACCTGAACTACCCTAATACCTGAAATCCATCTAGGCATGCACTGATAACCGTCCCTTTCCGGAAGGAGAAGGGCAGCTCCACAGAAGCAGGAACTTGATCTGGTTAGTCGCTGGCAGCCACACAGAAGCCCTTGGGGAGGAAACATTTATTGAATACAGCAAATGGGAGGAGTGTTAAACCTCAACAAGATAAAGACCTCAAGCCAACTAGATTTCCGGTGACACACAGAGAATTGAAGTGAGTTTGAAGACCAAAGTCATTTTGAGGCAGGGCTTACAGCCCAAATCCTGGGAGTCACAGTACATCAAGGGATGGGCAGTTTTGCGTAAATTACGAGTATCCACCCAGCGTGAGATATTTGACAATGAGGCCAGCCAGCTGCCAGCTCAGGTTTTATTTCCGTTGTCCTTCTGACGTCAGAAAAAGCACGAGTTGCCGCGCAGTTTCTCCTATCAAGGTGACAAATTACAGCCTCGCTGGGCCCTGCATTCTGCAAACTGCTCCCCCCCCCCCCCCCCCCCCCATGCTAAAAGAAATGTAATAACCACTGCAGGGATGCCAAACCTCCCAAATGCATCATCTGGTTGCCCAAAGGTGGGTCTTTCCCACTATACGCACATCACCACGGGTTTGTCCAAGAAAGTATGCGAACCAAGCTTCACTTTAAACAGGCTGGTAAAAAAAAACAAACAAACAAAAAAAACAAACAAAAAAAAAACCTCCTCGGTGGGCGCCGCAGAGCTAGACACAAAGGATTCGGGTCGCAGCACCGCCTTCCCGGCTCAAGGCAGCTGGTGAAAGGCGCTAGGGACGCGTGGAGCGGTAACTGCGAAATTCCTTTTGCCGCCAGCAGAACTCTGCCCTCCAGGACGACAGCCCGGCAGGGATCCGGGGCGAGCGACCTGGCGAGTAAGAGGCGCCCAGGGTGGCCGGTGACCTGCAAGGGTCCGGCGGGCGCGGAAGAGCCGGGCACTCGGGGTGCGTGGGGAGCAGGGGCCGGCGCACGCGAGATCCAAGGCTTCTCCCCAAGGCGCCCAGTCAGCGAGTTAAAGAAAGGTACTTAGCGGCCACGTTTGGGCTGCCGGTGGGCGAGACTCGGAGTGTAACGGAGGGCGAGCGAGAGAGACTCGGGCTGCCTCTCCGGGGGAGACCGGAGAGGAGCGCGACCCCCGCTCGCAAGTGGCGGCCTTTTGTTCGCCGGCGCCAGTGGACCCGGCGATCGGCAAACCTCTTCGGCCCTAGCTTCATTTCGAAAGCAAGTCGTCCCGGCGGGAACAGTCATTTGCCGCCTGCATCCACTAGAGATCCTCCCGCGCGCGTCCTCCCGCTTCCCGTCACCGAGGGGGCTCCGCGGTGGCAGCGCCACCGTCCCCGCCACTCACGCGCCCCGCGCTGTCCCAGACCTCACCCGCCCCGAGCCGCCGCTGGCCGCGCGCAGCAGCCGGGCACCCCGCACCCGCTCCTTCCGGCAGGTCCCAGGTGGAGGCCCCGACCGTCCTCGGGTACCCGGCCGCGTGGTCGCAGGCGCTCGAGAAATGTAACCAGACGCGTGCCATCAAAGCCGATTAAAAAAAAAAAAAAAAAAGTAAGCCACAGCCCACTGTAAGGCGCACCCAGGCCCTCGCGCGGCGCGTGCCCCCGGGAGGTCAGAGGACCTGAATTTTCCTCGCCGAGAAGCAGCGTCCGAGCGGTTTCCGCGGCGCCGCCTCCTAGTCCGCGTGGAAATAAGAGGCAGAGGTGGCAGAGGGCGCCGTCCGAGAGCCCGCCCTCCGGGACCGTCCCGGCAGCTCGCCGTCCTTTGTGTCCAGGGCTGCAAGGCCCGGCTGGGAGAGGACCCGGGCGGCGAGGGTGGCGCGGCGATTTCCGAGGAAGGTACAGGCGGGGGCTCCCGGCGACCTCCAGGCGGATGGCGCGGCGGCCGCGGCGCTCTTCCCTTCCGGGCTGATTGCATCACCGGAGTCTCCCAGCGCCGCCCCGCCCGCGCCCAGCTCCCCGCCTCGCACTCACCTCGGCGCGAAGGGGCGCGGAGCGCGGTCATTTCCCGCCGGGGGCGCCGCCCCTGCGCTCCCGTGGCCGAGGGCGTCGC